TCGGAGCTGTGGGACACGGAGCTCATAGCAGAATAGGGATAGGACTTTCTCTTGAGTCCTGATGAAACTCTGAAACACCAACTTCCTATTGATTTAACATTGGAACACCTACTTCCTATTGATTTAACTCTGAAACATCTACTTTCTCATGGATTTATGGCATTTTCTCATGGAACTAGGGTTTATTTGATTTAACACAAATATTTTCTCATGGATTAAGGGCATTTTAATTTGATTTCACACTGAAACATCTACTTTCTTATGCAATTAGGGTTTATTTGATTTAACGCTGATACTTTCTCATGGATTTAGTGTATTTTAATTTGATTTAACACTGATTCTCATGGATTAAGGGCATTTTCTCATGGAATTATTCAACACTAAAACGACTGATTTCTCATGGAATTAAGGCATTTTTAGTTCCACGATGGTTCTTGAAGGAAATTCTTATCAATTGGTATGGTTCTTGAAGCATTTTAATTTAATTTTTTTTTAAAATCTTTTAGCAATTAAAATATTAGTACGATTACAAACAGTGTTACGAGAGAAGAAAATAAAGGTAGATGGTGGCTGGTGGTGAGGTTGGGTTGCTAGAGAAAAACACTCTGAATTTTAGATGAAAAAGCCTTTTGTCAGATTTGTTTGGTGAAAATTAATAAATTGTTTGGTGAAAATTTGATGGGTTGGTGAAGTTTTTTGTTTGCCAATAGGTAAAGGAGATATTATTATAGGTCATCAAAGTTAATCTTGACACACCATAGAGTGATGTGCAGATCCCAAATGCAAGATTCCTTGGCAGACAGAGCCTGGAATTGGGATAAATTATTTCTTTTTGAATTGTCAAATTAAGGCGCACTGAATTGTCAAAATTTTCTGGTGATGTGAGTGAAGTTATTTTTCTTGTTTGTTCTTAATTGTAATATTTGACCCCCTACATGATTTATGCACATGCTTGTGAAAGATATTATAGATTAATACATTCTTATGTTTCAGGCTTGCAGAATCAGGGATGAATTGTGAACTTATCCATATTGTGTTTTGTATATGATTGATTGTTGAAGTCCATTTTCCTAATCTAGATATGATTTCTGAAGAAAGGGTTTAATTATTATTTTCATTAACGATTTCATTGAGAAGTAGTTTTCAATAAATACATTCCCACTTGTCCATGGACACTTTTGATGCTTTCTTTTATGTTAGTTTAGCATAATAGTTTCCAAAGTGATAAAATTAAGAATATACTAATTTAAAGGGACAGAAGGGTTTTTATCTAAAAGTTTTGCTAGATTTGACCTTGATTTGTTGCGCAGCTGGTATTTGGTTAATTTGATTCGAGTTTTGAGCTCATGAATTCTTTGATTCCTTTGGTGTTGGATTACAAAAGCTTGGAGACTGTTTCTTATTTCTCTACATGAGTAAACTGGTATAGAAACTACCTTTGGGTCTTTACTTCAGATTGTTACCGTTGGTTTTTTATCATCACAAGCATGATGTGCTACATTTTTGTTTGTTTGAATTAGTATCTCTGTTTCAGAAACTACCTTTGTTTTGTTTGAATTAGTATCTCTGTTTCAGAAACTACCTTTGTTTTTTTGGTAATGAGATATTTGTTGATTTTGTTACAGAGCTACTCTTTTTTTAATCAAATATATTATTATTATTATTATTATTATTATTATTATTATTATTATTATTATTATTATTATTCAAAGTGTTGACATCACAATTTTTTTTGTTCCACGTTGGTTCTTGAAGAAAATTCATGAGAAAGTATGGTTCTTGAAGCATTTTAAATTTTTTTTTTTGAATCTTTTAGCAATTAAAATATTAGTATGATTGATGTATACATCTTAAGGCAGGACTAGAAAGCATGCTTCTTAAGCTGTGTGAAGTTTCTATTGTTATGCTTCACCCAAAGCTCCTCATGTTTGAATAATCGAATTGCAACGATGTATTATTTCGCATCAAGGTGGGTGTGATTGGGCAGCTTCGTTCATCTATGCTCCACCTTGTAGGCAGGGAAGGAGAGTGTTCTGGAATACTTGATTGATATGACTAGGAAGATGCAGGACCCTTGGTTATGTGTTGGTGATCTCAATCAAGTGGGCTCTATTTGGGAGAAGCAAGGAGGAAGGGAGTGTAATAGTTCTCAACTGAATGAATTTAGAGAAATGGTTTCGGATTGTGATCCGGTGGATTTGGGGTTTAAGGGAAATGCTTTTACCTGGTCCAATAATCAGGTTGGCGGAGACAATGTTTGAGAAAGATTGGATCATGTGACAGTTGCATGGAGGGATTTATTCCCAAATGAGTATTTCATGATATTTGCTTTGGATCAGACCAGTGCTACTTGGTGATTAATTGTTATGTCCCATTGGTTCAAGTACCTAGAAAATTTCGATTTGAATCACTTTGGACCACTAGTCCAAATTGTGTAGACACAGTTAAATCTGCATGGGATCATAAACAATCGGGCTCTCATATGTTTCAACTTGTACAGAAATTGAAAAGATGTCAAAGGAGGCCGTGGGCATGGAGTGGACATGAGTTTGGAAATGGAAGAAGGCAAATAGAGAAACTTCGAGTGCAGATTGCAAGGGTCCAGACCTAAGATCATTCAACGGAAAAGGAGGACCTACAGAAGTGTTTATTTCAAGAGTTGGAAATGGTAATGAAAAGAGAGGAGATGTTTTTGCATCAGAAATCCCAGGTTCGGTGGCTTAATTTGGGAGATAGAAATTCAGCCTTCTTTCATGCAACCATTAATCAACGACGTCAACGGAATCAGATTTTGCAATTGAAGAACAAAGCTGGTAGTCTACTTACTTCAGACTCATAAATTAATTCCCATTTGTTCGATTATTTTTTGGACTTATTTTCTGGAGATAGTGGAGGAGGAATGGCTGATGCTTTAGAGGTGGTGGGTAGGGTCATTATGGATGGCATGAACTCTCTGTTGATTCGGGATGTGTTGGATGATGAAGTCAAGTCAGCGGTTTTTCAGCTGGGTTCCTTAAAAGCTCCTGGGCCAGACGAATTTCCTAGTTATTTTTATCATAAGCAATGGGACATTGTGGGGCCATCTGTGTATAAAGCAGTGAAAAGTTTTTTTCGAGGGGGACATTTGTTGAAGGAACTCAATCATACAAACTTGGTCCTTATTCCTAAAGTTCAGGCTCCGGAAACATTAACGCATTATAGGCCAATCTGTCCGTGCAACTTTAATTTGAAGGTGATTACTAAGATTCTTGCTAATAGATTAAAAGGGATTTTGAGGGAGGTAATCATGCCAAATCAATCAGCTTTTGTGTCGGGACGGCTGATACAAGATAACATTATTGTGGCCCATGAGGCATTTCATGCATTGAAGCTTCGGAAAGGTAAGGTGGAGGACCTGGCGCTCAAGGTAGATTTCAACAAAGCATATGATTGTGTTCTTTGGGGCTTTTTGAAAGCTATGCTGGGAAAAATGGGGTTTCATTCCAAATGGGTCCAGTGGATAATGGAATGCATTATTACAGTATCCTTTTCGGTGATTGTTAATGGGGCTCAAAGGTCCAACTTTAAGCCATCAAGGGGGTTACGGCAAGGGGATCCGTTGTCTCCTTACCTGTTTATTCTTGTTATGGATGTATTCTCGAGATTGATTACTCGAAGCGTGCAAGAGGGGAAAATTTCTGGACTGCGGATACAGAGGGGGTGTCCTACCCTCTCGCATTTGTTTTTCGGGAATGATGCAGTGCTATTTTTTAAGGCAAATGCTGAAGAGTGTCAGAAGGTTGGCAAATTGCTGAAAATTTACGGTGATGCTTTGGGGCAATCAGTGAATTTTGATAAATTGGGGGTACAATTCTCAGGCAATGTTTCTCCCACTCGGCAATTGGAGATCTGTGGACCGTTAGGGATTTAAAAAATGAAGGCAAATGTGAGATATTTGGGGCTGCCATCATGTTGGGGCCGCTCCAAAGCTGAAGCTTTTAATTTTTTATGCAAAAAGGTTTTATCTAAGTTGCAAGGATGGAAGGCTAAGTTACTTTCCCAAGCGGGTCGTGAAGTTCTCATAAAATCTGTGGCCCAGGTGATGCCAACCTATGTGATTGCATGTTTCATATTTCCCAGTAAGCTTTGCGATAAGTTGAGCTCCTACACAAGGAATTAATGGTGGAAAGGTGATCCTGAGGAGGGTGGAATTCACTGGGCCAGCTGGAGTAGGTTGTGTTTGACCAAGAAAAATGGTGGTTTGGGCTTCTGGGGTTTTCGGGCTTTTAATAGAGGAGATTAATAAAATATCCGGACTCCTTATTTGCAAAAATTATGAAAGGAATCTACTACCCAACTCGAATTTTTGTCATGCAGCTAGGGGGCTACGACCCTTGTGGGCATGGGCAAGCCTGCTGCAAGGTAGAGAAGTTCTTAATGGTGGGCTTCAGTGGCAAGTTTTAAATGGCAGATCGATTAATTTTTGGGAGGATCGATGGATCCCTTCAAATCTGGGGTTTAAATTTCAGACAGCAAGGAACATTGGGGTAGAGGTGCAGAAGGTGAGTGAGGTGATTGCTCCCGTTCGGAAAACATGGGATGAGGCAAAAATTAGAACTCTGGTTGCGGATGAGGATTGTGATGCCATCCTCTCCATCCCGGTTGCGGTGATGGAAGGAAATGACACTATTGTGTGGCACCATGACTTGAAGGGCTTTTACACAGTGAAATCGAGGTATCAAGAAGTGGTGAAGCAAGCTTATGTAGGGACTAATTTACCCGGCTCTTCTTCGGAATGGTCTGAGAAGGAATGGAAGTTTGCATGGAATTTGAATTTGCCTCCAAATTTGTGGAGATTTATCATAACGCCTTGGCAACAAAACAGAATTTATGGCGTAGGCAGTGTGCCAATTCCGCTCATTGCCCTGTGTGTCCATCAGCTGTGAAGTCGGTGGAACACCTTTTATTTGAATGTGAATGGGCTAAAAGAGTCTGGTTTGGCAGTGGGCTTGGCTTCAGATATGACGAACTTAACTTGGGAATGGTTCGGTCTTTTGTTTGGTAATCTCTTTGCATCCTCGGGTGCAGCGAGTTGGGGCAGGATGGTGGTCTGCTCAATGGTTTGGGTGGCTTGGTGCATTTGGAAGGCGAGAAATGATTACCTTTTCAACCAATTCCCTGTGAATCCAATTGAGGTGGTTGCTAAGGCTAAAAGAGAGGATGCTGAATTTTTGGCGGCTTGCGAGGTGGACTCTGCCTTTGTGGAAACAGCAGCAGGGGCACAGGGTCATGAGCCTCATTGGGTTCCTCCTTCGAGAGGGAAATGGAAATTTAATTGCGATGCGGCAACTGACTTGAGCAGAGGCAGGGGGGCTGTTGCAGTACTTCTTAGGGACGAGAAGGGCCATCTGGTGGATGGCATCGCTGTAAAAATTCGCTTGGCAACAGCAATACAAGGTGAAGCATCTGCAGTGTGACTTGCTTGTGCCATGGCCTGTGCTTTTAATTGTGCAAATGTGGAGATTGACAGTGATTGCAAAAATGTCATTCAACTCCGTGTCAGAGGGGGTTCCTCCGTGGGACATTTGTGCTGTGATGAATGATGTTCGGTCAATGGCCAGCAGCATGGGTTTGGCTTTTAAATGGTGCCCCAGAGTTGGGAACAGGGCTGCACATTGGGTGGCTTCCGCTTGTTTGCATGATACTTTGCCTATTAATTGCGTTTCCCAGCCTCCTATGGCTTTTGTTGGGTGCCTTCAGCTCAATTCTGTGTAATTGAAGCTTATCTTGATCAAAAAACAAAAAAAAAAATCCATTGTAGTCTTAATATCAATTTAGGAATGTAGGATTAGGTGTAAAATCAATTTAACCATGGACAGCCAGATGTTGCATGTTCATAAAAAAATAAAAATTTAAATTCAATGAAATGTTAAATTTCTTATGGCTTCTACATGTTTGGGATTTTTTTTCCAATAAAATGATGGATAAGCGGATTTTTTCCTTTAGCAGGAATAGCATATATTTTGGTCTCAACAAGTTGATTTAGGGCAGTGGATTCAATTGTTGAATTCTTTCTTTGGATTTGAATTTTTTTTTATCTTTCATGTATTACTCTGAGCAGTGTTAAATCAATCGCTTTGAGTGTGCTTGCTATTACCCTGACAACAACCAACATGACATCTATTTGGGTGTCAAAAAGAAATATGCTGATAGATATTGAATCCTCCAAATATTATTACAAGAAGTGGGTTTAAAATTTATTGAGTTCATAGTTTGAGCAAGGTTTATAGTTAAATGTAGATGGAGTAGTTTAATTCACAAGGAACAAATTCTTGGAAGTGTTTGTGTAGGAAATACAGAAAGTAAAAACTGCACCTATACATATATTTTTTTTCCAATAATGACAAATTTCAGCTGCATAGGTGCAATTGTTCTTTCCTTTGTCGTTTTCATTTGACTAAAGACTATATGTGTGTTTTTAAATTTGTCATGGACCATTATTCATTGATACCTGAGAGTGCTATGTTGATTTCTGATGTTAAGTATCTATATTATCTTTCTCAATTGCTCCCTTGGGTGCAGAAAGCTGCAATCAAGAAGATGGATATGCAAGCTTCAAAGGAATTCCTTACTGAACTGAAAACATAGTCACATGTTCATCATCTAAACCTGGTAGTACTCTTATTTATCTTGTTAGTAAATATATGCACATGCCATTTTATTGTATTTGATATTGACTTTGCTGAAATTTAGGACCTAGAGTAATTGGAATTGATTCCATTTTTGGGAATCCTTTTTATTTTTAATCCTCCAGAATTTAATATCATATTATGCTAATTTGATGACCAATATATTTACATTGCGCCATTTAGCAGTAGTTGAGTCATTCGGCTTTAGATGGAGTTGGACTTGCTCTGTTTTTTCTTTGTTGGCTGCTTGTAACTAACCACCATTGTACACACACTAAGAAAAATGATATTTACTTTGATCAACTCACACAGCACATCAAACTGGGGTTGAACTCCATTAAACACACACTCATTGGTTATTGCTTTGGTGCTGTGTGGACTGCTCTAACTCATAAAACAAAACACTTGATCTGTGCAAATTAGTCACCAGGTCACTGAGTACACACTAGGGAAAATGACATTAAATCAGAACATAGTTAATAGAAGCTGTGTTTGGATTTTTAGGTGTTTGGACAATTGAACCATTGATTTTATCAACTCAATTCTCTTTCTTCTTGTGGTTGAAATGAAAAAATATAGGCTGGACCTCTCGAGCCTTGGCAAGTGGGATATCCATTAATTTTTTTTTTTTGTTTTTAAATAACAAAAAAATGTGTAAGTTTATTCATATGCTTCTAGCAGCTCCTGAACTAATTTTGTTATTTTTATTCAGGTCAAAAATTGCTTAGAGAGATGTGAAATATGATTTAAAAAAAACAGAACATTCAAGAACTTTGAGTTTTCTTTAAATTTTTTCATTTTTTTTAATTAGATTTTTATTGTGTAATTAAAGTAAAAAACCCTTTTATTCTTTAACTTTCATTGTATATATTTTCCAACATTCGACTTTCATTTATGAAATATATGAGATTATTAGCTATTCATATGTGGTCAATGTTGTGATTCAAAGGAATTTTTTGTGCAAATAATATTGATTATATTTTAGATATTAGTTTTTTTCAGATTTTAACATGGTTTATATACTATGATTGATAGTCACATTTTGTGGTCGGAATATTTTTTTATCACACGCACTAACCGTGATGAGAAATGCATATAATCGTGATCTTATCTTATTATTAATTATGGATTATTTAAGTTCAATCTCAGGTTTTATTAGTTATTAATCACATTTAAAATCTGTGATCTAAATATTTATTATCACGGTCAAAACACATGATGGAATTATCTTTTAATGAAGGTCAAAAAGTTGACATCATTTTCGGGTTCGTGGAATGGACAATTAAAGAAGTAAATGTGGGTTTCTTTGAAATGAGTTGTCCCATGTTGAAACTTTAAGAGAGTTTTGTTTGAGTATATAAACTCTAGACTACAACACTTGGGTTGGGCCCCAAGGGGCACATGGACAAAGTAAACCTTAACTCAAACCACCACACACGCGCCGCTGCCGCCGTCCGGCCAAGCCGTGCCGGGGCACGGGTGTGAATTGTGGGTCGGGTCGGTTCTTATATTAATTTTTTTGAGAAAATTCATTTGAATTTTTTCCAAAATTCTTATCAAAGTTAATTTTTTTATGAAGTCAATTTTTCTGTCCATTTATTACCTCTTCTAGTCCATTATTTCTGAACAGATTAATCAGTCCACATAGGTCTTAAAATCTGTTGCACCCGAACAGATTCAAACTGTCCAGAACAGATTTAACTGTTGTGCAATTATCTGTTGTAACTGCCAGATTTGTTTGATTTTCAAACAGCATCTGTTCAATTCAAATTGCACTTGTTCACTTCTTTTTTGTACCTGTTCGGGTCTATATATTCTAGACTTGTTCCAGCAGATTTTGGTTGATCAAAACATCAAGTAAATCCTGTCCAGACATGTTTTCAATCTGTTGAAATTCTGGACAGATTCAAAATCTGTACAGTTGTAGATCTGTCCAGTTTCCATACTAAATCTGTTCAAGGGTTTAGTATCTGTTGAAGTTACAGAAACTTACCTGTTCGGACAGCCTTTGTATGCCTATACATACCAACATTTCCAGCAATGTTCTAAGGTTGAAAAACAGTCAGAAAAAATTCATTTTGCTATTCTATTTGCTCCTTTACATTTATAATCTTTATTCTAGTTTTAGAGAAAATTAAAGAGAGTATTAGAACACAAGGTTCTAGTTCGCCGGACAAATTTGTTTGGAGTGCTACTATAAATTTGTGAAAATCATTGTATCCTGAGAGATAGACGCCACTCAATCGTAAGCACCGTAGCGGGGCGAATTTGTCTTAAGGACAGAGTATCACACACTTGACTTGGTCTTTTAATTTTCCATTCGGTTCGATAAAATAAATTTTGTAAGTTATTTATTTTATTTTGGTTGATTTAGTTTCAATTTATTTTATTTAGACAGAAGATTGTTCCAACAGTTTGTCCTTGTTAACAGGACAATGTGTAGATAATTGGACGATAACGGGGCACAAGCATGGCATGTTTTCTAGTGTGAGATTTCAACTGAGCTTTCCAATCAAAAAATATCAATTGAAAACAATCCGATTTTCTTAATATGGAAAATTATATTCTTAAAGGTTTTTGTATAGAATGCAATATTTAAAGTAATAATATCAACACTTGTCAGGCCATTCTGTATTTATTTTTATTTTTTTGTTCAATTTTTATTTATTTATTTGTATAACATTATTCTAAAAATATTGCCCACCATGCCTCTGTGGGTAATCTAACATACTATTTATGGTGATTCAAATAATCAATAATGCTTTTGTCTGCTTGAACTGCATGAATTGCGGGAATGAGTTTATATTTATTCCCTGACATCTCATTTTAGCTTTTTAGTAATTAAATTACAGGACAACGAAGCTTGATGCTTGTCAAAGCTGTGAGAAATGGTGAACAACACTCATTCAAGAAGGAAGAGGATTATGATTGTACTTTTATCTTCCCACATTATTTCCCATTTAGTCCATATGAGAATGGTAATAAAATACACTTGTGTGATTTGAGTTCATGTAACCATAAAAGGGTAAAGAATACCATGCAACTAAATAATGGAAACTTGATAATAAATAAATAAATAAACAAAACAAAACAAAAAAACAGCAAGAATTGCAGCCATAAGATTAACATTACCATAATATTCTCAAAATACAAGATAATTAGACAAGTAGTTTAAAAGTTCAGGACTTTCTAAAAATAAATAAATATAAGAAAACTAAACAAGGTCTTAATGGTTGCACATGCATTAGTTTTTTGAACCAGCCAAAAAAAAGTAAAGAAAACAGGGAAGGTTTTTGGTGCGTAAATTAAGCTAGGGTAAATTACACTTTGTACCAAATTTTACTTTGACCCTTACATATAAAATTATGGCAGTCAACCTTTTATACTTCTGGTTAAATCTCACTTTGATACTTACACATGAAATTGTGACAATCAATCCACTGCGTTTTTAGTTAAGTGTCAATACTTCTCTTTTGTTATTCCATGGGATAAGTTTTTAATGGAAGTCAGTAATATGACAAGCATATGATTACGAAATAAGGGCAAATGAGGAAAATCACTCCCATTTTAAGCTTACACACATTTTGTCCCAAAATTTTACATCAAATTATGACTATATTCAGCCAAAACAAAACGCATATTGTGAACTATTAAGGAGATGAATTAAAGTTTTGCAGAAAGGGAAATCACAAAACTTTGTTTCTATAGTAACATAGTCTTCTGTCAATTCCTCTTCCTTTCGCTTCGATTTCTGTATTGCATTTTTTGATTTCAAAAGCTCTATTTTC